GTGTGTGTGCGTGCGTGCGTGTATTACCTGACTGTCTGGGAGGTGGTGGCTCCTGATTCATAATCATGTCTGCCAGTTCAGTGTAGCTATCAGAGGAGAATGGAGGTTTACCTGAAACAATTTGAGTTAAGGTCCACAAGTGTATCCTGTTTTCTGTTCATTACCGTGTTCAAAATCCATATGGATTATAGGTACCCACTGTATAGCAACTAAAAGAACACTGTTAAATTAGCTAGTGTGTATTTAATTGTATACATGTGTCAGCATGTGTGTGTGTATTTGGGTACCAGTGTACATGTAGAACAGTATACAGCCTAGAGCCCAGAGATCTGAGCTCATACTACTTTCTGATCCTTGTAAAACCTCTGGTGCAGTGTAGGCTGGAGAACCTGAAAATATACACACATACACATGTTACTTAGTAAAAGACAATAGTAGTAGAAGAAGATATGCATCCTACTAATTAGATGTTCCAATATTGAGCTTTCATAAAATTGTTCTGAGTTGTGTATTCTTGGTCATCATATGGTAAATTAGTTAGCACAGAATATAAATCCTCCACAGAAGTTCTGATATGATCACGTCATTAAAACAGCGACCCCAATCCCCTTGTTCTTTGTCATTTTTAATCCAAAAACACGTTTATGTCTCCTGGCCATGAGTTTTCCTCCAAATGGTTTCTAACTCTACCTGTTACAGTAAACTCCTGCCTGTCTGTGCATTTGTTTCCATGCTGCAAATGTGTTCCCCACAATATACAGTATATAAGCTGTTTCACAATTCAACTGGATCCAACAAAAGGCTGGTCATCTGACCTTGTAATCTTTTCCTCATGTTGTGAAAGTTCTCGTTGCCATCTTCCTCCCCTGCCTCCTCAGATGTAGAGAGCAAGGTAAAGAAATCCTCCAGAGACTCTCCCTCTACTTTAGACAGACAGAAGTTACCAAACTTCAGGGTCCCACTACCATCCAGTAAAATCTGTGGGGGACAAAAGGAAACTTACTTATTTAGTGAGATAATGATAAATGTTCTGTTATACCATTATACCTTAAATAGATAAATGCAAACCTTAGCAGGGGTCAAGTCAGAGAAAATGATTCCTGATTCATGGATGTGCTTCAGTCCTTTGACCAAGTCCCATCCAATCCTCCTCACTTCATCTTCTAACAGATATCCATCCTGGGCAATCACAGACTCCATGGAACCACCTTAGTAATACATAGATAGAGGAAAAAACAGCAAGAATGAAAGAGAGAGAGACAAAGAAACTTAGAATCATACTACACCAGTTGTGTTGTGTTAAAACACACACACTCTTTCACCTGTAAAAAGCACAATCAAATATGAGGTGGTTGCACTTAACGCAGCATCATCATCATCATGAGTGTCTGTGACTGACTGACTGACCTGTGCAGAGCTCCACTACCAACCAGAGTTGGCTACTTGTCTCAAACCACTCATAGAAGCACACTACGTTTGAATGATCCAGCTCATTGCTGAGACGAACCTAAAGGGGAACCACAGCAATGCATTAGCTGTGGTTACTACAGTTAAACTATTGTTCTGATGAAAGCATTCCTAGTTGTAGGTGGATATAACTCTTAAAGGTCCAGTGTGTAAGATTGAGGAGAAAGGGATCTATTGGCAAAAATTTTATATAAAATAATCCTCATGATGTTTTCACAAGTGTGTTTCATCAAAATTGTTTTAATTGTTATTGTCTTTACCCTAGAAGCCTTTTGTATTTAAATACTTTATATTTACATCCTCTCTGTGGAGGAAGCCATGTTTTTTTACAGTAGTCCAGACTGGACAAACTTTACATCTTTTGAGTTTTTATGACAACTGAAGGCTTCGACAGGTTCTTTGTCACATTTGGAAGGGGAGGGTGAGGTGAGGGGTATTCAGCTGCCCTTTGCAATTTCACCACTAGATGTCGCTAAATTATACACACTGTACCTTTAACAAAACCTTAAACCATTTTTAGAGGGTTGGAGGTTTCAGGCCCAATCCGAAAGCATAAAATAATATTATAAATATCCTGAAAAAAATGTGTAAATGCAGAGGGCATCTTAATAGATGAATAGGTTTAAAGCGATACCCTACATGGTTAGTGATCTCCAGTCTCTTGGCTTTGTCAGTGCAGATGATGGCCACATAATTCAGACTGCCCTTCCTTCTTCCTTTATACACAACAGAGCTGCTGCCTCTGCCGACCTCCTCATACAGGATGAAGTTCTCCATCCACTGTGGAGAAGGAAAAGTGAATAAATTACAAGATGAGTTTGTTTTCAATGAGGAATGAAAGTAGAGAAATATCACACATTAAAAAGAATCATGTTTCTTTCTTTATATCTTAACTATATTATACATGTAACTGCATTTACTGTAATACACATACTCTTATGAAAGTATGTGAAACCTATTTAAGATGTTGAAAT